ATAGATCCAATGGACCTATTGTATGTCTACAGAACATTTCATCCAACTTCTACACAATATACATTCTTCTCAGCAGCCATGGAACCTTCTCCAAAATAGATCATATCCTAGGGCACAAAGCAAGCCTCAGCAAATATAAGAAAATAAAATTATGCCATATTCTATCTGATCACAATGCAATAAAACTAGAACTCAACAACAAAAGTAAAGACAAAAAACATGCAAACAGCTGGAAACTGAATAACTCATTGCTTAATGAACAATGGTCACTGATGAAATAAAGAGGAAATTAAAAAGTTCCTGGAAGTCAATGAAAATGAAAACACAACTACGGAACCTATGGACACAGCAAAGGCAGTCCTGAGAGAAAGTTTATAGCCATGAGTGCATATATTAAAAGACTGAAAGATCCCAAATCAATGACCTAATGATACATCTCAAACTCCTAGAAAAACAAGAACAAGCAAATCCCAAAACAAATAGAAGGAGAGAAATAATAAAAATAAGAGCTGAAATCAATGAAATAGAAACCAAAAAACCATACAAAGAATTAATGAAACAAAAAGTTGGTTCTTTGAAAAAATAAACAAGATCGACAGACCCCTGGCAAAACCTGACTAAAATGAGGAGAGAAAAACCCAATTAGTAGAATCAGGAATGCAAAAGGGGAGATAACAACAAACACCATGGAGTCCAGGAAATCATCAGAGACCACTTTGAGAAACTATATTAATAATTTGAATCTTAAAGAAATGGACAGATTCTAGATACATATATTATCCAAAACTGAACCAAGAGGAAAGAAATTAAACTGAATAGATCTATAAAACAAAATGAAATTGAAGCAGCTTCATGAGTCTCCCCAAAAAGAAAAGTCCAGACCCGATGGATTCTCTGCTGAATTCTACAGACCTTTCAGAAAACTGATACCAACCCTCCTTAAACTGTTCCTGAATAGAAAGGGAAGGAAAACTGCACATTTATGAAGCCAGTATTACACTTATCCCAAAACCAGGCAAAGACACCTCCAAAAAGAGAACTAATGGCCAATCTCCTTACATAACATGATGCAAAAACAATCCTCAATAAAATAATGGCAAACCATTCAACAACACATCAAAAAGATTATTCACCCATGACCAAGTAGGCTTCATCCCAGGAGAATGCAGGGGTGGTTTCAAACATTACAAATCAATAACATGTAATAAACCACATTAACAGAAGCCAAAGACAAAAACCACTTGTCATCTCAATAGATGCAGGAAAAAGCCTTTGATAAGATCCAACACCATTTCATGATAAAAGCTCTAAGAAAACTAGAATAGAAGGAAAGTACCTTAAACATAAAAGCTATATATGACAAACCTACAGCCAGCATTATAGCTAATGAGAAAAACTGGAAAACCATTCCCTCTCTAAAATCAGGAACTAGACAAGGATGCCCACTATCTCCACTCCTATTCAACATAGTACTGGAAATTCCTAGCCAGAGCAATTAGGCAAGAAAAGAGAATACAAATAGGTAAAGAAACTGTCAAAATATCCCTATTTGCAGATGACATGATCCTATACCTTAAAGACCCAAAAAACTCTATCAAAAGCTCCTAGACACCATCAATAGCTATAGCAAGGTAGCAGGATATAAAATCAACATAGAAAAATCATTAGCATTTCTATACACTAATAATGACAAACTGAAAAAGAATATATGAAAACAATTCCATTTACAATAGCCTCAAAAAAAAATCAAATACCTAGATGCAACCTAACAAAGATGTGAATGACCTCTACAAGGAAAACCATAAACTTCTGAAGAAAGAGACAGGAAGACTATAGAAAAGTGGAGAGACCCCATGCTCATGGATTGGTATAATCAACATAGTAAAAATGTATACTCCCCAAAGTAATCTATGTTTTAATGCAATTCCCATCAAAATTCCAATGACATTCATTAAAGAGATTGAAAAAATCTACCATAAATTTATATGAAACACAAGAGGCCACGAATAGCCAAGGCAATACTCAGTCAAAAGAACAATGCTGAGAGTATCATGATACCTGACTTCAAAACTATATTACAAACAGCAATAACAATAAAAAACAGCATGTACTGCACAAAAAACAGACATGAAGACCAGTGAACAGAAATAGAGGACCCAGATAGAAAGCCACACAAACTATAACAATTTCTTTGACAAAGGCACTAAAATATAGGATGGGAAAAGCAACCTCTCAACAAAAAACTGCTGGGAAAAACGGTTAGCAGTCTGCAAAAAACTGAAACTAGACCCATGTATATCACCCTATAACAAGATTAACTCAAATGGATCAAGGATCTTAATATCAGACACAAACTCTAAAGTTGATACAGAAAGAGTAGGAAATACTCTGATTATAGGTATAGGTAAGAACATTTCTCAATGGAAACCCCTAGCAGCCACAGAAACTAAGAGATAGCATAGATAAATGGACCTTCATAAAACTAAAAGCTTCGGCTCAACAAAAGAAATGATCTCTAAACTGAAGAGAACACCCACAGAGTGGGAGAAAATATTGCCAGCTACACATCAGACAAAGGACTGATAACCAGAATATACAGGAACTTAAAAAAACTAAATTCTCCCAAAACTAATGAACCAATAAAGAAATGGGCAAGTGAACTAAACAGAACTTTCTCAAAAGAAGAAATTCAAATGGCCAAAAAACACATGAAAAAATGCTCACCATCTCTAGCAATAAAGGAAATGCAAATTAAAACCACTCTAAGATTCCACCTCACCCCTGTTAGAATAGCCATCATTAGCAACACCACTAAACAATAGGTGTTGGCGAGATGCGGGGAAAAGGAACCCTCTTACACTGTTGGTGGGAATGTAACTAGTACAACACTCTAGAAAAAAATTTGGAGGCTACTTAAAAAGCTAAACATTGATCTACCATATGATCCGGCAATATCACTCTTGGGGATATACCCAAAAGACTGTGACACAGGTTACTCCAGAGGTACCTGCACACCCATGTTTATTACAGCCCTATTCACAATAGCCAAGTTTTGGAAACAGCCAAGTTGCCCCACTACTGATTAACAGATTATGAAAATGTGGTATTTATACACAGTGGAATTTTATGCATCCATGAAGAAGAATGAAATCTTATCATTTGCAAGTAAAGTGATAGAACTGGAGAATATCATTCTGAGTGAGGTTACCCTGGCCCAAAAGACCAAAAATCATATGTTATCTCTCATATGGGGACATTAAATCAAGGGCAAACACAACAAGGAGATTGGACTTTGATCACATGATAAAGGGAGAGCATGTAAGGGAGGTATGAGGATAGGTAACACACCTAAAAAACTAGATAGCATTTGTTGCCCTCAACACAGAGAAACTAAAGCAGATACTTTAAAGCAACTGAGGCCAGTAGGAGAAGGGGACCAGGAAGTAGATAAAGGTTAGATCAAGAAGAATTAACCTAGAAGGTAACACACATGCATGGGATATTAATGCGAGTCAACTCCCTGCACAGCTATCCTTATCTCAACTAGCAAAAACCCTTGGTCCTTCCTATTATTGCTTATACTCTCTCTTCAACAAAATTAGAGATAAGGGCAAAATAGTATCTGCCAGGTAGCGAGGGGTTTGGGGGGTTCAGGGAGGGGGCAGGGGGGTAAGGAAGGGGGTGGGGGAATGGGAGAGAAATGACCCAAACACTGTATGCACATAAAAAAAAAAAAAAGATAGACTTACAAGATTGCCAGAAAAATCTAACTCACCCACTAAAACCATTGTTGGTAACATTAAATTCAAGATTTACCATTAAGTTGAGTCCTTTAAAGAAATTTATTTTTAACTGTAAAATACCAATAAAACCATAGAAAGTCTTAATTTACTTAGTGAAAAGTAATTTGATACTACTATATTAGATTGCAAACAGTTTTTAGGAAGTTAAATTTTGTTAACTGTCAGATAGGTATAGTACTGCCAAAACAAAAACAGGTGCATTTTCACAATCAATTCTTATCAGTTCTGCTTTGCTACCAACAAAATACAGCTCATTCTAACAGATACATGTCATACCACTTACAGCAAACTTACATAATGAATTTACACATCTAACAATTCTTTCTATACACATGTATAGAAAAAAAGCATAAGAAAATACATAAATAGAAATTAAAAGTCAACTAAAATTAAATGTCAAAAGTTGGACAGGGCCGAGCACCTGTGTCTCACACCTATAATTTTAGCTACTCAGTAGGCAGAGATAAAGAGAATCATGGTTTGATGACAGCCTGTGCTAACAGTTCCCAAGACCTATCTCAAAAATACTCTACAAAAAAGTGGACTGGTAGAATGACTCAAGTCCTAGCAAGCATGAGGCCCTGAGTTCAAACCCTGTACCGCCAAAAAGAGATGGCTATAGCTCCATGAGTAATTATTTATGTTTTATTTTTGTAAATTTCCACCTTTGCCTATTTTCCCCTCACTAAGCCTTTTCAATCTAAGCATTTATCAATATTATTCTTCCACATTCTACTTACTTCTTCCCCTATGAACTCTATCAGTGGTTCTGTCTCCAGGGTGAAAATGTTTTCACCTTGTAATATGGCAAACTTAACAATCCAAAGAACAAAGCTAAACGTTGCTATTGTCTACTTAAATATGGTTTCAAAAGGCAGTATTTTAAGTTAAATTTTTATTAAAATAAACCTTCATGATGCCAAATAACTGAAAAATATTTTGACCTGACAAAAAATATTCTGACCCTAAAACAACTAGTGTTTATAATCATAAAAGATGTTCAGTAATAGCTCTCATCTCTGTTAAGATGTTTAAGAGATAATTTCCTATTTATTTTTCATATAAATGTGATAAATGGCTATTCATTTCTTTTTCTTTTTTTTGGCTACTCATTTTTTTGTTTAGTTGATCAGATTAAACATGAACATGTCAAAATAAAATTAAAATTTCAGCATCATAATATTCCTACTTCCTTACCAGGACTATCTCTCCTAATCCAAGCTGAGCACGGCCCAAAGTTTGCCAAGACTCCCATGAATGTGGATTTTGTTGGACAGCCATTTCTGCTGCATGTACCGCTGGGAACACTTCATGAAGAGACATTAAGACCTACATGCCAAAAAAGAAGAAGGGGAAAAAAGTCTTAATCTATATATAATACAAAGTAGCAAGCCACGAAGGATAAACATACATATACAAATCTTTTCATTTCTAGAAATTTATTTTAATCTGGAAAAACATAGTATTTCAGAAGTTTTTACCCCCTCCTTTTCCATTGAGGATCAGGAATTCTAGTCCTTTTTCTTCCTGAAATAACTATGAAAATATAAACTATTACTTTTCCAGTTACTGAACTCTATGTGCATCTGGTTAAAACCAAGTGGTCCTATTCTAGCAACGATTAGCTCAGAGCTATTTGAACTCTCATTTCCCTTCTACTTACTCCATTTACAATGTGGTTTTTAGAAAATTCCAAGTCTGGCTGTTAAAACTAAGTAAATTAATTTCTTTATTAATAGTTCTCTAGTGAACTATCTCTCTACTATAAAAATTATGTAAACACTTCACAGATAGCCTCACAACTGGGCAATAATACCACACAAACCAGAAAAATCAGAGAATTCGAGAACTCTTCACATCAGTATATGGGAAAGAGGTGTATTTTATCTATAATCTTTGGACTGTGGACATTTCAGAACATTTTTTATATTTGTGTTATCAGGTTCCAAATTACCAGTTTGCCACAAATTCTGCCTTAATATATACACACTAAGACTGAAATTTAAGGAAATCCAAATGAAGGTCTTCATAGCACTTGCTTCACTGGACCTAATTTATTTAGGGTTTTTAAAATAAACTGAAATCAAAATTGATAAAGCATGTATCTCATGTTTAAGATCATCATCTCAAAATTATTTATTAGGTGTGCAATCCAAGTCTGAATTCAACAATTTCCTGCCAAAAAAGATATTTAATGCTGTTTGAGACAGGGTCTCGCTATGTAGCCCAGAATAACCTTGAATTTCAAATACTCCAAATACTCCTCCCTCAGCTCCCAAGTGCTGGGACACTACACCAGGCTATTTTTGAGACTTACAGTCTCTTAGATAACCAAATTCAGGTGTTCAGAGACTTTCTTTATAAAATTTCCTACAAATATTAGAAATTTACTTTTAAATACAAATGCTATTTTAAATTATTAATAAATTGCATTAATTCTAACCTTTTGCAAGGCCATTTTTTTTTGTTGTTGTTGTTTTGTTTTTTGTGGTACTAGGGTTTGAACTCAGGGCCTACACCTTGAGACATTCCACCAGCCCTTTTTTTGTGATGGGTTTTTTTTGAGATGGGGTCTTGCAAACTATTTGCCTGAGCTGGATTCCAAACTGTGATTCTTCTGAGTAGCTAGGATTACAGGCGTAAACTACCAGTGTCCATCTTGCAAAGCCACTTTTAAATAAATTTCATCCAGAACCCAACCCATCTTCATTTTGAAGAAAAACTTTTGCTTAATGTGTGACAATAAATTTACAAAGAAAGTAGAACCTTGTGGGGTTGGGAGGAGTGGCCAAAACAATGTATACACATGTAAGTAAATGTAAAAACAATAAAGTTTAAAAAAAAGAGAGAAAGAGAAATCCATCTTTGTTAGGGTGAAATAATAGTTAAGCTCATTATGAAGGCAAATGATTTTATAATTTAGTGCACAGGGCTAAACCATAAATAATAAGGCAAAAATTTTAAGTAAATTGTATTTGAGAAAGAGAATGGGAGGAATACCATTTGGGCTCATCTTTGCTCAAGAAAGAAAGCACAATTTCATAATGAAAGTGAAATTCTTCACAATTATTACCTGTGATTTCATCTCATAGAGGGTAGCATCATTTGGAGTTAGCTGTAGTGCTTCATCCCACTTCTGAATTGCCTCCCGATATCTGTGGTTGTTAAAGTTACATTAGTATCAGATGTTCAAAAAGTCTTTGAGAGCACATGACCAAATCTAAACTTCAGGTGCTCATTTCAGCAGCACATATACTAACACAAAATAATATAGAGAAGATTAGCATGGCCCCTGCGCAAGGATGACAGGCAAGTTCTTGAAGCATTCCATATTTTTGCAGATAATCTTATATTCTTAGGGTCTACAGAGTACTGAGCCTCTCCACCAAAAGTCACAGATCTCCCAACTAAAGCAAAAGAATATTTTGGTATTTCCTAGTCCTGATCCTGACAACCAGCCAACTATATTTTCTGCCAAGTAAATTTAGCCTTGTCACCTCCTAAATTTAAGATAGGGAATTGATTTTTGGTTCCCTTTCTAGGTAGTGCTGTAGCAGGGAAGAAGAACAGAAGAAAACAGACTAGGCCTGAGTCCTAATAAAGTACCAGGGGGAAGGGATGGCATAGCAGAGAGATAAAACCTACAGAATTCAAAGGTGAAGAAGGTCACATAGCACTAGGGGTAGAAGGGTACTAAACAACTAGGCTGAAGTAGCCTATAGAATTGCATGTAAACATATATGGGTTAAACCTTGTTTTTTAATTTTACTGCCTCTGTAACCTGTTGCAAGGGTATATATGGTGAGGCCCCTTTGTTCTCGGGGCTCAGCCTTTGGACATGAGTCCACTGAGTCTTGGTGGCACAAAAAACTTTGCTTCCTGCTGAACTGCCTCAGAGTCCCATATCTTAGCTATCACCTCCCGCAACAGTGCCAGTGCCCAAACTCAGCAGGAAGCAGCTATACAAGATGGATTGTTGCCCTGAGGCAGGATAGATAAATGAGGAGACAAGGAAATTATATTATTTTAATAAATATTTAAAGGGCCAGACTAGACACTGGAACAAGGAAGTAAAGGCTGGAAAGCCAAGGCAGCTAGCCTCCTCCCATTTCCTTTTAGATGCTAAGTTAACAGGGAGACCTAGAGGAACTAGGTCTTGCTAAAACTTCAAAATAAAATAAAACTAAGGAACTAAAGAATAATTGCATATTAATAAATCTCTATTAAGGGACAGATAATAATTTTAAAAAGGCAGACAATGAAAGGACAGCAAAATATAAGTAAAAAAAGAAAGAAATCTTTGCCTATGATTTTGTTTTATTTTCTGGGCTGAAAAAAATCACCACCAAATTTCTTTGTTTTTTTCATTAAATTCAATGTAGGCATATGCTCTCATTTATTTTAGATTGTAAAGGACTTTTCTCGAAATTCATAATGCATTTGTAACCCTGGGTTCAGCTATAGCAATTGAGCTGCTAGAGATGCTGGTTTAAGAAGAAGCCAGGTAGCCAGGCACCTGTGGCTCACACCTATAATCCTAGCTACTTGGAAAGCTGAGATCCAGATGATGGTGGTTCAAGACCAGCCAAGGCAAATAGTTCGCAATCCTCCCCACACCCACTCCTCCATTTCCCATGTATGTGTTCTTGTGCATAATTTCCTACCTAATAGTCATCAACAGACCTCCTATAAGATTATAATGGAGCTGGAAAATGCCTATCACCTAGTGACATCATAGCTATCCTAATGTCATACTTATGTATGTGTGATGATGCTGGTATAAACAAACCTACAGTGGTGACAGTTGCATGAACACAGCACATACAATTTTGTACAGAATGGAATACTTGATAATGATATAAACAACTATTACTGGTTTATGTACTCATTATACTAAAGTTTTTACTTTAAGAATGTACTCCTTGTACTGATGACGTTTTCTGTAATAGCCTGGTACCAGTGGCTCACACCTATAATCCTAGCTACTCAGGAGGCAGAGATCAGGAGGATTGTGTTTTAAAACCAGCCTAGGCAAATAGTTCATAAGACCCTATTTCAAAAATTCCCAATTCAATAAACGGCTGGTAGAGTGGCTCAAGTGGTAGAACACTTGCCTAGCAAATGTGAGGCCCTGAGTTCAAACTCCAGTACCCACCAAAAAAAACAAGTTTTCTGTGATATAAAGATTCTTCTGTGAAAGAATGTGATGCATTATATCACCAATACTCTCATACAATCTCATTCCTACTAAGTCTCTTGATAGCCACATCAGTTGACTGACTTATACCGGCTATGTTTGTATAAGTATACTCTGATATTCCCAAAGTGTAAGTACCGAATGACGTGTGTCTTAGGAGATGTCCATACATTTAGCAACGTATGACTGCACATAAAGATGCAATAACAATAACCAAATAAATAAAATAACCAATATGTGGGCTGATCTTCATAGATCATTCTTTAAGCAAGGAACAAAGAAATAAAGAAATAAAAGTAGAATCTAGCAGAAAATACAAAGTTAAAGTACATTAGCTGGTGTACATTCTGTTTGGGCAGATGTTCAGGCATATAAAGATCCAGTGCCCTAATAGTTGCTAAATATTTGGGGCATTTTTTTTCTGAACATCGGTAAGATAAAATAATGGTAATCAGTACCGAGGAGCTGGACAGGAGGAATAACTTCTAATGTTTCATAGCACAGTAGGTAACTATCACTGATGACAGTTAACTGAATATTTCAAAACAGGTAGTGAATTTTGAATCTTCCCAATAAAAAGAACTTACATATGAGGTGGCGAGTATGCCAAGAACCTTGATCTGATCATTACATATTGCATAAGTCTACTGAAATATCATGCTGTATATGATAAATATTCACAACTTCTATGTAGCAGCTAAAATTAAAAAAAATGTTTAAGAAAAATTCATTTGCTTGCTAGACACAGTGGCACACACCTGTAATCCCAGCACTCAGGAGGCTGAAGCAAGAAGATTGCAAGTTCAATGCCAGCCTGGGTTAACATAGTAAGATGCTGTTGTAGGGGGAAAAAAAATACATTTTCTCCCTTTGTTTTTTTCCCTTGCTACTGAGTGTCTTTACTAGTAAAAGACTTTTTCTGGGTCCTACACCATGTTGACAAAGAACAAGGTATACACAATGGGAGGTTTTCAAAGCTTATCTTTGTGGCTATTATAGCAGGGACCATGGTCATTCCTCAGTAGCAGGTTATGTGTAACTGTAAGTTGAACATTTACCTCCAAATGAGGCAGGCTAGAGGCTGGATAAGTTTGGGACTCATGTAGGTTGCCCTGGGATGGTCCAGACCACCCTTACCTGGGCTGGGAACCGCCCATGCCCTCCCTACTTGTTCATCATTGTGTGGGAATCTCCTGGGTCTGCCCTCCTCATAGGTTAGTGTAGGTTTTAAAAGCATCTGAAAAAGAAAAGCACTCTGTCTTGGGCCAGTAGACTCCACCTGAACCCACCATGCATCCTTTGTGTTTCTTTTCCTAACTTTTAATAAACCCCATTTACACCCATGCATTCTGCTTGGATTCTTCCACACTAGAATGCAAGGACCTTTTTTTCTGAAAACACCATTTGCCATTAACACAAAGGCTGGTAGCCTTTGTTTTCAGGCAATCATATCAGCATGTGAGGAGATGGCTGTCAGAAGTGTTGCCTGCATAACCATTATTAGTATCTTTCTTTCTCACAGAGGGCCTGCTGGGACACTGTATTTTTTCATATTCTATATCTGAGTAAATAATAATGTTTTGATATAAAAACTATTCACTGGGTAACAAAGAATGAGAAAACAGAGAAAGCGCGCATACACGTAGACACTCATAACTTTGCCACCCAAAGATGATAACCATAGTTAATATAGTCATTATTTTATTGTTTATTTTTCCAGGTTTGTAATTGTATTGTGTAAGTCAGACACACATGTATGAAACGTTTTTACCATGTCTTGAAATCATTAAATGCTTCTCACTTAGCATAATGCTTAAAAACTGAGTACCACTATTCAAATAAACAGTTACAGCAAAACTTGTTCAATAGTACTATGACTGTTAGATATTAAAAATTGTCCTATGGCCAACAGAAGTCCTTTTTAGAAGGAAATGATCCATGAACAAATTATTGAAAAAGGAAAAAGATCATCTTAGAGTTAAAAACAGTATTCATTTTATATTTTCCAAATAACTGACTGGAAATGAGTTCACCTCAGATAGAAGGTTACAAAACTAAAGATATAATTCATACTGGGTCCTTTAATTAGAAAATAACCAATTAGAAAGAAATATCTATATTACTCCTCTCTCAATATTCTATTAATATGACCTGCCAGCTTTACAAGGAAATAATTTATAGTTCCTGGTTGACTTGGCTATTAGAATTAGCAATCCAAAGCCAATCAAAAATTCAACTGAGTAATACCATTTAAATATAAGATTATATATAAACTATGAGTCATATTCAGGCTGTTTAATTCTCTAGTAACTAACCTACAAATTAATAGTAAGAATCATGATTTTAAATTTATATTTTTAATTTTTCAAAAAAGGAAGAAATCTTTATAATGAAACACAAATAGAATATTAGATTTTCATGTCCTTTGTCTTCTGTCTGCTTTTCAAAATACACGTATACACACATTCGTAAATCTCTATTTAAAAGCCAGGGCTGCAGGTACACACCTGCAATCCCAACACTCCGCAGGCCAATGCAGGAGGATCACAAGTTTGAGGCCAGCCTGGGCTACACAGCAAGACCCTATCTCAAAAAACAAACAAAAAAAAGCTCTATTTAAAATGAACAATTACATTCATTTAAAAGCTGTATAAACAAATACATATACATGAAGATTAATTATTTATTTTTTTTAAAAATTGTGAGGAAAAATCACAACTTTTTTCCTTCAAAAACTTAGAAATGAAATTCAGCAAATCTCTCCACGATTCTGATGAATATATATTCTTATATATTTATTTCTGTTACTATCCATCTCACCCATTAGGATATAAAGGGATGTTTTTTTAAATGTTTTGTTTGCTAAAATAATTCCCCACACCTAGATCAGTGTATCACATGAACAAGTTGCTCTATAAACATCTGTGGGTGAACAAAGATGCAGGCTAATAACACAAT